GTCTTTTCCTTCTGGTACCGGAGTCGACACGAAAATCCCGTTTATATGCAAGATAATGCACCAATTTATGTCAGCCGTACCTTGGTCAACGAATAGGTGTTCATCACTGAAGCGAAAGCTGTGTCTTTCCAAGTAATATATGGCCTTTGCGGCAGAGTCTGTGATCGGGCGAAGTGCCTAACTGTGGTGAGGCTCCATCACCCTCTTTAACAAAAGCCTCCTATCATTATAAGGGGGTTGAGTAGATACTCAAACATGCGGTATTTGCAACTGTCGCGCACGAAGCCGCCTGGACCTACTGTCACATACTCGTCACCGCCACATTCAAATGATTACACAGCCACCCTTCCACCTTTCCCGAATGTGAGGTGCGTGTGATCATGGATCTTATATGGAGATCGTGCATTCACATATTGCTCGTAAACTCTCTGAAAATGGGCTCACCTGAATGGAGCGCATCACTTGGTCGGGACGTTCCCATTCAATGAAGCGCGCTTTCTGAAGAGAGCAAAATAAAAATGTCTTGACCATTCCTTGGGTCTCATTCAACCTCTTGGGGTTGTTAGTTGAAATGTAGCGTACGATAAAGTCAAATTTAGACACTGAAACAATCCTTTTGCAGAGCTATTGTAAAACTTTCGTTGGGCAAATTTAGAAGCGTGGATTTCATTTTTTAGGTGCATTGTGGAGTAGCTGTTGAAAAATAGTTGAAGGTACCCGGAACTTTTGAGCTCATGCTTTCATTTGAAGTCGCATAAGTAAGTAATGTAACGTGAGTAGCAAAATGCAAAGCTCATAACGCAGTGTGAATCACCTAGAAAAATTTTGTATTCTGAATTCTGTACTCTTGGATAAAGCTAAATATATTCTCAAATATTATTTTTTTGGCATGATATATCTCGGAACAATGAAGTAGTCTACTCACTGTCCCGCACGAGCCTTTAAAAGAAGACTGAAGTTATTTGCTACCGCCACTAATCGGTGAGGGATTGTGTGCCTGCGAGTGCCAGAATTTGACTTTATTGCAATCGATATGTTCTTTTCTAAGAGTTGGTGGTTGTCTTACTTGCTATCCACCTAAAAAAATGGTGGTGAACGAAACACGTATTAGTTCATAGTAGTGATACGGTTGCGTTGCGGTCCTCCTCGGACCATAGCCCAGCGGTGGAGCACATTACTCTCCCGGGTCGAAACTGTGAAAGTCTCCTTTCTTATACGTCGCTCAACCTCTCTAAGAGAGAATGTTAGGGAAGCTACTATTTAGAAGGATCGTAAAGCTGAGACAGACGTTTCATTTTTATTGTTTTACAAAAGCCATTGAGCTGAGAGGGTAAGAGGGGCGCCGCTTTGATTGCGTAGTGGATAGCGCAACTGGCCGGTAAGCGTGGGACGCAGGCTCAGGTCTCACCTGATTTTGACTTTTGTCCAGCATTTCTGTGGTAACTGAAGCTCAACATTTTCATTGAGTTTTCATGATATAAAGGCACAAGGCACATAATTTGGTCCTTGGTCTGAACGGATGCCGGCGTATAAACACGCTTTATGAATTGTAACGAGTGTTTGGAGTCGTAATGGTACTAGAGTTGTTACGGCTGGTGCAACTCTGCCCCTAATTTTTGATGAATCAGCATGTGATGGCAGCTAAAAAGAGGATGGATACGTCGCAGTGCCACTACTTAGGAAGGGTCCAAACGGTCTGAAAATCAGACCAACCGATAATCCTTTTCAAGACGAATGCAGCCGTGTATAAACCGTCTATATCCCACTCTCTTTCTCCCCGAAGTATATCTCCTAAACCTTGCGGCAGCTGAGCATCGGGTCTGCAGTCACCCGAAGTACCTGCGTAAATGTCTATTTTGCGGTCCTCCCCCCCCCCTCTCCAAGTTTGAGTAGGACCCAATCCGAATGTTTCTGAAGTTACCAGTGTTTGTCATCACGCCCACGGTACACAACATACTCATAGAGCCGAGCATTGAGTGGCACTTGCTATACAATCTTGTAGTACGTAGTTCTGTTTTCAGAATACCACTATTCCTACTTCTACTTATTTCCCTTGTTAACGATTAATTTCAGTGCCCAGCGCTTATTCTGATTTGTAGAAACATCTGGAATTTATTAGACATACTGAAAGTTCGGCGGTCGAAAACAGTTCGGTAGTAAATTGAGATGGGAAAAGAGATTTCTCCACATCCCAGTCAGGGCACATCATTGGCTGGGAATTTTAGTCGAGTCTGTACGATACGACCCCCCCCCCTTTTTTTATATACTACGCATGAACAGGAAAATCACGAAAAGTCAACCACCACTCCCACCACTCCTAGAAAGGCCAGAAAGTAAATACGACCCCCCCCTCCCAACAATGAGCAAGTACGACCCCCCCCCCCTTTACAACGTCCGTGAAGCGAGAAAAATCAACTATCAAAATAAATTTTCCTCAGCCCAAATACGCCCCTCTCTCCTGGCGGCCAAATACGACCCCCCTGTTTTTCTTCGTTTCTCCATTTTATGAGCTTCTATCAGCTATCATTTCCTATCACCCACAAGTGGTGTTCTCATTCTCTGTATCTCCCATCAATCTGAGCGGCATCTGCTGATCTCCAGAGATCATCTAGTTATGAGAATTACAGGAGGATACCCGTGTCTCCACATGCGTCTTCAACAAATTCCACACAGTTGAGTATGTACCTCTATTTTTAACTAATAATTCACTTGAATTTTTTCTTGGCACTGACCATTTCCATTGCTCTCTTGAAAGCATCGTCGCTTACGTCGATCGCAGGATCGAACATGAAGATTGTTCGCATGCCCTGGGTGTGCAGCTCTCGCACATAACTTGGCAAATCCTTCCATTTCTGAAGCAACAAGCTATTTCTATGGAAGTTTTCGACATACTTATTAGGGTAAAAGGTAAGTGAACTCCGAATATTTCATGTTATGCGAGTGGTTGTAAAGTGCAGAAGTTCATCACAATGCAAAGGCTCTAAGGCAGCGTTCATACTTCGCGACAGCAGCGGCGATCGCGGCGATCGTGGCGATCGTCGGCAGCAGAGCGCGCCCCAACGCTATTACTTGGACCGCTCCGAGTGCTTTAGGAAGAATCGACTCAATTTCATGCTTTTTTTCTTTAACTGCAATTTTCTTAGGTACTGAAGCTTGGTTTGACACAAGAAAGGTGAACCCAACTTAATGGCTTTTGTTTTCTATTTTCTTTCTTGATTCAGGATAGAAATGAGCAAAAACGTGGGAGCTTCATTTAGGGATAAGTTTCTTTGTTTCTTTATTTTATCATTCTTCGGGCTTATATATGAAGTTAAAGTCATAGAGTTTCCTTCTCCTTGATATTGCATAAAAGAATTAGATTTTGGTCTCTAGGTGAGTTTCTTTCTGTTTCTTTTTTTCGTTGTTTGAACTCGACTTGTAAACTATAAATATTTGGGAAGTTGGAACAGTTTAGCCAATAGGAAACTTTCAAAACATATATATTGAAAGAATGAAAACAAAAGAAACGAAAAGAAGCTCATCTAGGAAATAAAGTTGCATTTATTCCGACCTAAGAAAGTGGGTTTCACCCTACCTCATATATCAGATCCTCTTGAATACAGAAAGTAGCATGTTTTTCAGTTAGTAGCCATTATTAAGAGAAAAAACGGTCTCACAAGTTGCATTTCCTTGTTTATCAAAGCGAGCGGTCCAAGTGATAGGGTTAGGAGCGCTCTGTTACGACGATCGCCGCTATCGCCGGTGCTGTCGCGAAGTACGAACGCTGCCTAAGGGTCCCATGTCCTTAGAGGAAAACTGTCACATGTATGACAGAGCGCTTTCGTTTTGAATCTCAATAAGTCGGGACTTCGACTTTGAGACTTCTCTAAAGAACCACAGAAAGTTTGAACTCACTGGGTTGATTGTAAAATCTTTGAATCTCTCCATATAATCAATGTCGAACACAACTACTTCTAGGGGAATACCAGCATCCTTAGTCCTTTTGACAGCATTCTTCAAGTCGTCAAAATCCTTGTAACCCCAACGTGATAGCTGAAATTCGTTTCGACAAGTACTTTTGACTACAATTGTAGAAGAATTTTCTGAGAGACTTCACCTGGAAACCAAGTGCCCAATAGGCGGGAAGAAGGGGTTTCCCGATAAAAGCTAGATATTGCTGGGTGACCTCCCCAGGAGTTGGTCCTGGAAAAAAGTAGAGATCCAAATTTCCGCCGATTGTTCTGTAAATTAACGCTGATCCTGGAGTTGTTGTCACTTCCTGAAAATGCTGCATTCGTTAATTCTCAGGGCACTTCATTCAAAAGCGTCGATCTATTCAAATACCTGTGCATTACTGTTCAAAAAGAGTACACCGTGCGCTTTACCGTCCGGCTCGAGGACCATGTAGAAAGGTTGGACTCCTAAAAAGCTTCTGAAGTGTTCAGTTTTGATTTAATTCCTCCATTCAACAATGCTGCAGTTCTACTCTCCCTTGTAGCGTCCTTGAAGGCAACTGGCACGATAGTTTCCTACTTAGCCTAAAATGCTAGTAGGGCGCTGTATAGTGGGGAAATGGCGAAAGAACGGAGTGAAACGGTCAAAATCCTGCGAAGAAAAAGCCTCCGTTCTCAGTGACTTGTAAATCGATTTCGGACGAGTTTCCCGTAGGCATCTTACCAATCACCGCTACCGAAGATACGGCTGCATATGTGTACCCATGTATGCATGCAGCATCACGGCCGCTTCATACCAATCCCTTCGCTTTATAATTTGCTTAGCAAATGAATGAATAGTAGCGTCAGA